ACATTGACATTTCAGGGTAATGAATACTAGATCAAGAAAGCTAACAGACAAATCTAGAAAGTGAAAAATCCAACATGACAACAGATGTAGTTACCTCATCAGATGAAGGACATCCAAAAAGGGAAAAGAGGAACTGTTCTAGATTACAGGAGATTCAAGAAACAGTACTAATACAATACAATTAATGTACCAGCATAAATAAAACAATGTATGTATCTTGTCTAAGACAAAAGTAGGCACTTAAACATCTTTTTTAAGTTATCAGAAGTTCTTTATTATTAATTTAATTTTTATTATTATTATTATTTTTAATCTGACCAGAGAGAGATAGAGAGGGAAATTGAGAAAGTGAGCTGTACAGTCTGGGACTTGAACCTTAGCTGGCTATGTGGGAGTCCCATGCCTTAACTACCACACCACCTACCCATCCCAGCATTTAAACATCCTTTCACTCACTTTTTTCTTTTTTTGACATTTTACTGGACTGAGCCACTTTATCCACTGCCCTCTTTGAATCACTCCATAAGCCAATATATAGTATTTACATCAAGTTCAGGGTGAAAATAGGTGATGTGATACCAGAAGCCCAAAGACGGGAAAACTTCAAGATTTTATAAAGGACTTATCCCATCCCATACGAAAACATTTTGTCTGAATACACAACTGTTCCTTCTGTCTTACAATGCACAGTTCATACTCATCAGTTCAAGCCAAGGAAACCTGGGAAGCATTTGCTCCTTCTGCTTCATGGCCTGATCAGTGATCGCATCTGTTTTGTTTTACATTTGTTTGTGTGGATTCTTGACATCCACCTTCATTCTTCTGTATTTGGGAATGTGTTAGGTAGTAGAACACTGACATAATTTAGACACATCCACATCCGAAAGGGCGGGAAATGCAGTCCAGTGAAAGTGAGGAAGAGATCCTGTGTCCCTTAAATTTGGTTCCCACGTCAACCCAATTTCCTTTCAATGCCTGCATGATTTATTATTACTATTTTTAGGATTTTTTTTTTTTTAGGTTTTTGCCATAGGGCACTCATGCTCACCTGAGACAGACAGAGGGAAAGTGAGAAATCTCCCCAGGAGCCATGGCTGCCCGACAATTCCCTTTCCTCCATTCTCCTCTCAGAATTTTGGGCACTCGAGCACCTATGCCTAGAATGATTTTTGAAGTGACCGGGTCTGGGACAGGAATAAAGGGCAGCCTAGTGAGAGTCCAGCACCCGCCAAGTGCTAGCCTCAGTGTCTGCATATTTTTAAACCCACAATACATTGCCTTCTCCTATAATAGTTTTTGTCTTCTTGTTTTTCAAGCTTCTCCATTCTCTCCTTTATGGGATATTTTCTTGGTCTAGGTAGGTGACACCTAGTAGAGTTGCTTTGGTTGAATTTACTTGAGAGTGTGTGTTTGGCATAACTGACATTTTTCTAGAAGGAGCGCGGTAGAGCAGGACTATCAGTATCCCAGACCACAACCTAAAACTCAAGGGGCAGGTGTGCCTCTGTACCCCAAATCTCCAGAAGAGACTGGAGAAGGGACTGTGGCATGGCCATCTCCCCTGGGGGACGACTTCTCGCTTTCTGTCTGCCTCTCCAGGAAGTGCACGCACCCTATACCAAAACTCTAAAATAATATATATTTTATTTTTAAGAAAGAACTAATTCTGAGTGACTATCCAAAAGAGAAAAGCGACTCCAAATCCAAATATCTCCTATCGGAAGGAGAAAGAGCCAAGTCGCATACCCAGCAGGGAACTCCGGGAATCGCAGCCCAGAATATCTACAATGTCCAATTCACTAAGGCTCCTCAGGAAAATCGCCTTTAATGCACGGCCTGCTGGAGAAAATAAATGAATATCGATATCTTGAAGGTGCTAAAGATACATTAATGAGGTATAGACATCTCAGAGCCCTCCGTTTTTGGAAGGTATCACGGCTCCAGGAAAGCAGAATTACAACAAACCCCGACTCCGGAACCTTAAGAAATACCACCCGGGAACTCAATTAAGCAGCCGGCACTTCCGCCCTGGGGAGGCTGCAGTGACCGGGAATTCTGGGAAATGTAGTCCGAGACGCCTTGTACAGTGAGATCACTTCCGCTGCAGGAGGCGGGCCCTTCCCCGTGGGGAATTCTGGGAAGCGTAGTCCGCTAGGTCTCTGTAGGCAGAGTCACTTCCGCCCCAGGTACGCGAGGCCGCGGCCTTCGTTCCTCTCAGAAAGGTGAGCCCTCCCCTCTGTGTGTCCCTTTACGCGCGTCCACACAGATCGGTCTTCGGATTGCTGTGAGCCGTGGAGAGCGGACCGTCAACGCGGGGAGGAGAATCCGCCTGCGGCAGAGGGCGGGGTTTGTGTCCTCCTGAATGAGCCTCTCCAGTGTGGGGTGCTCCGAGCATCCCTGGCTGAGGCTGGGACCAGGGCAGTGCGTCCGCGGGGAGCGAGGGTTCTCCGGGGCTGGACTGGCCCAGCCCTTTTCCTGCCGCTCCCCAGCAGAATAGTATTCGGGGAGTGCTTCACCTCTGCCTCCGTTTCCTCTTTAAAATGCTGTCACTACCTACCTGATAGAGTTATTTGGAGAGTTCAATGAAAAGATTTAGGACAGAGCCTTTTCTGAGGAGCACTCAGTTCCCCGAAAGCTTCTGTGAACCCAAGGAGGGTTCGGGGCTCCCTGAAGGAAGCAAGGCTGCACCCGGATTCCTAATTACTGTTATTATTAGGAGAGGGTCACTCCCGGCTCTCGCCTGGGATGTCCACTGTAATTTTTGCAGTTCTGATAAAGTTCTCATTTGTCCCAGCCTCTTTTCCTCCCCCAGGCTTGACTTCTGAAAAGGCAGCAGGAAGGAGGGAGTGACCCTTTGGCTCACCTGGGTAGGATTTAGCATCTCTCTCTCTCTCTCTTTTTTTTTTGTTTGGCTCACCTGGGTAGGAGTTAGCATCTGTCTCTCTTTTTTTTTTTTTTCCTCTTATGCCCTCTCTTTTCAGGGAAGACAATTTTTCCTTCACTCATTGGCAAATTCTGCTATGAAGCTGTCTTGATATTTGTTGAATAAATATAGGAAGAGGAAGGGGAGTACTTGGCATGAGTAATAAAAGATAAAATTTACACATTTGATGCTAAATATTAATCTAAGAGTTTAATTTGGGTTAACTCATTTGATTCCCACAAGAGCCCTAGTGGGGCAAGGGTACTATAATTCTCATTTTAAAGATGAAGAAACAGACACAGCCTGCGCTGTTTAGTGAGGGTTACTCAGCTAGTAAAAGACTGAGCTGGGATTTGAAATCTGGTAGTTTCAATACATTGCTTTCGTTCTTAATCTGTTTAGTGTCAGGTTGAGAAGATATGTCTGGATTTTCCTGGAGGGCCAGGAAAGCTATGTTAATAAGCTTTGACTTCTGGATAAGATTTTTAAAATTATCTTCAAACTAATTGTATTTTATTTGAAATGTCTATAGTTTAGATTGTGGTTATAGAAATCTAAGTTTGGGCCAGCAGGTGGCATGGTTGTTAAGGCACTGGATTTCTACATGACTGACAGCAGTTCAAGTCCTGGACTTAGTGGCCTGCTTTCTCACTTTCCTTCTCTCTTTCTGTCTCTCTCTGGTCAGATAAGTAATAATAATAATAATAAAATTAAATAAAAATAATTCTTTAAAACAAATAAGAAAAAGAAATCTAACCTCAGGTTATGAAGATTTTTTTCTTATACGTCCTTTTAGAAGCTTTTTTAGTTTTGCATTTGAATCTATGATCCATTTTAAGTAAACTCTTTTTTTCTATTTTTTAAGTTTCGCTTTGAATATGTGCACTTGCTAGAGGGAGATGGAGACTGATGGCTACACTGCAATCCTTTCTCCTCCGTTCTCTCAGGATTTTGAGTACGCATGTACATGTACCTGGCATCATTTTCCAGCCACTGCGTCCAGGACTTGAACTGCACAGTTGGCCATGTGGGATCCAGCTGCCATAACCTCCACACTAACTGCTGGTCCTGAGTAAACTTTTTAATTTATGTCAGGGTTAGGTTGAGATAAATTTATTTGTGTATGAATAACCAATTATCTCAGCAACGTTTGGGTTCATTTCTGTAATTTCTTTTGTTAAATTAACTTACGTGTGTAGTCATGCATTGCTTAACTATGGTGATTTTGTCATTGTGTGATATAATATACTTACACAAACCTAGATGGTATGTATACACCCAGGATGTGTGTTATAATCTATTGATCCTAGGCTCCAAATCTGTACAGCATGTTATTATACTGAATACCATGGGAAGCTGTATCACTATGATACATATTCATATTCTAAGCATAGAAAAGTTATAGTAAAAATATGGTTTAAAACTCACGCTGGGCTCATGTGCGTGCGTGCCCAAGATCCCAAGAGGGGAATGAAGGAGAAGGGATTGCGGCGTGGCCATCCCTTCTTGGGGGGTGATTTCTCACTTTCTGTCTCTCTGTCTCTGTCTTTCTGGTGAGTGCACACACCCTATAGCGAAAACCTCTCAAAAAAAAAAAAAAGGAAAAGAAAATATATGGTTTAAAAGATAAAAACGGTACACCTTGTAATCATGAATGAAACTTGCAGGACTGAACATTCACTGGTGAGTAAATGTTATGACCAAGGTCATTACTTTATATTCTTATAGAGTTTATAAGCACTGTACATTTAGGGTACACTAAATAATGTAAACAAGTTTTCTTTCTTCAATAAAAAAATTAATAGCTTACTGTTTACTTTTACTTAATGTTTACTTTTAAAACTTTTTAAAAAATTAACTTTTGGACTATAGTAACATTTAGCTTAGGGGGCCAACAGGTGGCCTGGTGGTTAAGGGGCTGGACTCCCACATGGCCAACCATGGCTGAGTCCCAGATCTGGCAGCTTGCTTTCTCACTTTCCTTCTTTCTTTCTCTCTGTCTCTCTGGTGAGCACACGTGCCCTGCAGCAAACTAAAAAATAATAATGATAAATAAAATTAATTCTTTTTAAAAATTTAGCTTAGGGGACCAGCAGTTAGTGTAAGGGCTATGTTGCTGGACTCCCATGTAGTCGACTGCAGTTCGAGTCCCAGACTTAAACTCAAGCCGGGCGTGTGTGCGTGTGTGCCTAAGATCCCAAGAGGAGAATGGAGGAGAAGGGATTGTGGCGTGGCCATCGCCCCTGGGGGGTGATTTCTCGCTTTCTGTCTCTCTGTCTCTGTCTGTCTGGTGTCTGCACACACCCTGTAGAAAAACTTCAAAAAAAAAAAAAAAGATTTTTGCTATAGGGTGCATGCACTTACCAGAGAGACAGAGAATCAGAGAAACAGAAAGTAAGAAATCACCTCCCTGGAGGATGGCCACACCACAATCCTTTCTCCTCCGTTCTCTCAAGATTTTGGGCACACATGCACATGCGCCCAGTGCGAGTTTTAAGCCATCAAGTCCAGGACTTGAACCATGGTCGACTATGTGGGAGTCCAGGGATGCAACCATTATAGAATCTGCTGGTCCACCTTTTAGCTTTTATTTGTTGCAAACTAAGACATACACACACACACATTAGCCTAGGCCTTTATAGGGTCAGAATCATCAGCATGACTGTCTTCCACCTCCATATCTTGTCCCACTGAAAGGGCCATAATGAACCACACAACTTGAGATTAGATCAATCCCATGGAAATGGTACAATCAAGAGGTGTGGTGAACACCAGCTATATGAGGCTGCTGCTGGTTTAACATGGCCTACTGCTTGTAAACTCTTTTTATAAGTAGAAAGGATGTACATTAAATAATGATTAAAAGTTAATAAATACATAAACCAGTAACATAGTCATTTATTATCATTATTGAGTATTATGTACTGTATGTAATTGTGTTACTTTTTTACACCTGGCAGCACAGAGGCCTGTTTACACCAGCATCACCACAAACATGGGAGTCATGCATTGTGCTAGGGCTGCAACTTCACTAGATAATGGGAAATTTTCAGCTCCATTATAATCATATGCGACCACCGTGGTGTATTCTACAGGTTGTTGACTGAACTGTTATGAGGAGCTTGACTATACATGTCTTCACTGGTACCAAGCTATCTTAATTACTGTACCTTAAAATTGGATATTTTGAGCCATCCGGGCTTACTCGGTTTTTTTTTGCAAAATTGTTTTAGCTATTCTGTTTTCTTTGCCTTTTCATATACATTTTAGAATATATATGTATTTAGTTTTGCTATAGGGTGTGTACTCCCTAGGAGAGACAGACAGAGAAAGTGAGAAATCATCACTTGGGCAAATGGCCATGCTGCAAGCCCTTCTCCATTCTCTTCTTGGGATTTTGGGCACATATGCACATGTGCCTGGTATATTTTCCACACCATTAAGTCCAGGATTCTATCTGTCCCACCAAGCATGTGAGAGTTAGCAACTTTAACCTCCATGCCACCTGCGGACCCAGCTTTTGTATATATACAGAAAATTCAACTGCGACTTTTTTTTTCTCCCCCCCCCTCCCCAGAGGTTTTTGTTATAGGGTGCGTGCGCTTGCCAGAAAGACAGAGAGACAGAAAGCGAGAAATCACCCCCCAGGGTGAATGGCCACGCCACAACCTCTTCTCCTCCATTCTCCTCTCGGGATCATGGGCACACATGCACACGCGCCCGGCATGAGTTTAAGCCACCGGGTCCAGGACTCAAACTGCGGTCGACTACATGGGAGTCCAGTGACATAGCCATTACGTTAACTGCTGGTTCCCAACTGTGCCTTTTTTATTTTAGAGGGATTTTTGCTATAGGGCATGTATGCTTGCCATAGAGACAAAGCGTGAGATCACCCCCGCCCCCCAGGAGGGATGGCCACACCACAATCCCTTCTCCATTTACCTCTTGGAGTTTTGGGCCCGTATGCGCCCGGTGTGAGTTTCAAGCCACTAGTTCCAGGACTTGAACCTCAGTTGACCATGTGGGAGTCTAGCGACATAACCATTACGCCATCTGCTGATCCTCACCTGCAATTTTGATTGGCATTGCATCAAATCTGTACATTTGTCTTTAATGCATTGAATTTTCCAACTCATGAATATAGTATGTCTCTCCATTATGTAAGTATTCTTTCATTTATTGTATCAGCATCTCCTGATTTTCTGCATACAGATCCTATATAGACTCCTGTACAGACTCATTCCTAAATATGTCATTATTCTTTTGGATCTATTGTAAATTGTATTGCTTGTCAATTTT